TTACTATATTAAAATATGCATTTCAGTTTTGGAGTAGGAAAATGAAAATACTGCAGTTTGATGCTTCAGACTCTTGTTACGGCTGAAATTGATTTCCCCCACTTCCAAATTTATAAACAGAAATTAATCTTTTAAATGAATTTTACTTGTTTGTTTTATATTCTTCTACATTAGACGGTTGAAGTGCACATAATTTTACGGCTAAAGCAATAACAACGACAAGAAAGAAAAAAAAAGGCACTTCTTCCATAAATTATAAAAAAATCGTGTAAAAATATATCATCTTGTAAATCAAAATACTAACTGAAATTTGAGATGCCAGTCATAAAAATGTTTTTAGGTGTATGGGGTGGGTGAGAAGCTGTTACTATATTATTGTAGTCATCATGCAATAATTTTAACTGAGAAAATGGCAAAATTTGCAGGACAAGTAGTAAAACTTAGCAGAGATTACGGCTATGATCCATGCTAAAAATCCTGTGACCGAGAATTCTCCCTAGTATTTCAAGAGCAAGATATGTAATGAGAAACAAAGCAAAAACACAAATAATTAGCACATAACTAAATAAAAATTATATTACACATTTTTAAATGCAAATTATATTTTTATACTGATCAAATTATGGAAACGCATTCAATACCGTTATTTTAGACCAAAGTTTAGAAAAGGACTACAGATATCGAAATTGTTTGTCGAGAATGCTTCCGTTTGTTGCTATTTTGAATATGGCAAAGCACAAAAAAGCTATCTGTCTAAAGGAAGGCATATTTTGGTACAAGTCTTTCAAAGAGAAATTGCATCATATTTATGATATTCACACGGAAAAACCTCAAAAGTATCCACAGAGACAGCCCGTTCGATAATATTCCAGCTCAGCGAACAACAATTATTAGCGACCTTAATCACTCGGCCACTCGTGGGGAAAAAATACTATTACATGTCGTTATTTATAAATAGTAGTATTAAAACAAAGATCAGACCGCTTTATCAATCTGTTTTCTACGCGCGCTTATATCATTATGTCGGATATATAAACTAGTTGTTGTTCTTGTAATATAGAGGTAAAAGATTAAAAACACTTGAAAAAAATTATAATCACTACATGAGAATATCTCTTTTAAAAGCCTGGCAAAGAATAAATGTTGCAACTTATATACGTGAAGATGAGGTAAAAAGACAGAAGAGAATAACAAATTAAACTTGAAACTAAAATTCAATACATGCAAAATTTTTACACAGTCAATACGAAATAGCGCGACCCGGAAGAAAGTCCCCAGATTGTACAGAATGAGGCATCTCCATCTGAGACACGCTGAGAGCCTTTAAATGTATTTCGTACAGATGACATTGACACTTTTAAGAAAGTTCGGACGTGATATTATTATTAAGCAGAAGCCCCGGATCACAAGCAAAGATATTTCCCAACAGCGGTCGGAATTTCAAATGTTACAGTAATGCTTCCGCCTGGAGCTTTACTTTCCAACCTCCGAAAGATCCCTGTCCGCTGTGTGATGGAGCAGGAAAGAATGACAGTCAATGCTGTTTAAGAATCACAGGGATCGTCTCCAAACTTCAAGAATCTTCAATCAAGGTTGAATCCACTAATTAAAAGCGGTGCATTGGAAGACGATGAAAGATGCAACCAATAGCACATATGCTAAGCATACAGTAAACTAAAGAAATGTTAAAGTAGAAGTTTTGGGAGTAGAAACATGTAATGTCAAATTTAAAAGCAGGCAAAAACAATCTTAGATTGACACAGATTTTAAACAAGACTACGTGGATTTCGAGGACGATCAAACACAATTCCTCTTTTTTCAGAAACAAAAATTTTTGCAAAGATGGAACACGCGATTACCATTCAGTATGGAACTCACTTAGTAGAGTGAAGCGAATCTTCTCAAAGAAAATAATAATGAAACATCAAAACGCTAAGGCATTAGAATTTTTAAAGCGCTAGGTAAACCTGGACTAGAATTACTGTTATTAAATGAAGAAGATTCATTTTTACTTCCTTCTACGAAGTAAAAAGGAAGTATTGTAAGCGTGAAAAGTTTCAGGCAGCATATTTCAACGAAAATATCCATTTTGACCGCTTTCGAATGCAATTTAACGATGTTTTTACGTGATATCTGTACGTAAGGACAGAATACTCTTTTCCTTTACGACAGAAAGGACTTTCTTTTACGACTTACTCTTTTCTTTTACGAAAAAAAAAAAAAAAGAGTCTTTCTTTCGTAAGACTCTTTTCCTAAAAAAAAAAAAAAAAAATTATAAAACTGCTTTAAAAGGAATTCTGAAGAGAATTTTTCGTGACGTCTGTACGAACGTATGTACGTACGTTCGTATCTCGCATAACTCAAAAACGAGTACCCTCAGAACGTTGAAATTTTGTATATAGGACTACTATAAAATGTAGTTGTGCACCTCGTATTTTGGTTGCGATCGGCCGTATATAAATATATTTATATATCCACTCTGTTAACCGGCTCAGTGATCACAGTTTCTTTACTCTTATATGTTTGTAAATTTTACATTTTTTGCTTTAAAAATGATTCAGTTATGTTGTTCTTATCTTTCGGTTAAGGTTTTTATGCCTTTAGTAAATCTGCTTGCAATATTTTTAAAATTATCAACAATTCTAAAGTTGTTTAAGTACCGCTAAGTCTAATAATATTTTTGATGACGGCCATTGCTTATTTACATTTGAAACAGCAGAGTAATGGATTTGTTGCCAATCTAGAGAAACGTAGCTTCGCAAAAACAAAGATAACGCCTTCATTTATTATTGCAAATTAAATCATGCTTAATCCTTTCTGGAATTTTTTCGAGGAAATAAGTGTTTAAGATTTACTTCGTAATTTTTAATACAGATAATTTGAGTTTTTATGTATTTTTGCCTTGTCAGGAAGTGAGAATTGAATTAATTGAATGAGAAATACTCAATCGTCTGTGAAAACTGTTTCTTTTTTTGTTTTGTTTGCTTAATTTCTTTTATACATCGTTCTTGCTTTATTATAGTAACAACAGAATATGTGGCATTTAAACACATTTAAACAGAATATGTGGCAACGATTAGATAATTCTTTAAATGATATAAATTTTGTGCATTCTGAGTTATAATATGAACGAAATATAATACTGTTAATTGAACCTAGCGCCAGAGTGTCGCTATGGTAAACAAATAGAGTGAATTTTAAAGAATGCATTTATTCTGTTGTGCTTTATGCGCTGTCGGCGAAGTAGATTTAATTCAATAAGTTTAAACGAAATGCAAGAAAAAATGCGTATAATTTAATATTCCATACAAGGAAGTCATGTGGTGTACACATCAGATTTTTATGAATGAGAAAGAACTCAAAGAAATACATTTATGAATAATTTATGAAAAATAAAAGTCATAGTTTTGATTAAGGTGGCAAGTGCGATTAGCTATTTAAGATTTATTTCTCCTTTTCTAACAAAAGTTTCGTGTTCATTTACACGACATTTAGCACTCTTTTAATCTGGCCATGTAGGTCAAATTACACTGATAGTATGATATGCTATAAATTTCCCACGAATTAAAAGTCAGAGATAGAATCTTAAAGGATAGATGGTTGAACATGCTTATTGAGACGAGTGGCAAAATCTATTTTTGCTGCGCAGCTTGTGTGAGCGCTTATCATAAATCAATTTTTCTCCAAGAAACTTATTACCTGTTCGTTGTCGATGTCTGACGTCGGCTCATAATTGTGTTGATTTTAAATACTTATCCTGTTGCAAGATATATTTTTACGTTTTAAATGTTAAATAAAGCTGGTTTTAAATTGTTTGCTGAAGTTGTAGTTTTCTTAACTGACCTTCTGAGGAGTTTGGAGTATAATGGTGTTAAACAAGCGCCATAGATCGAACAAGAAATTTATTGATAGAAAAGAAAATGAGTCTAAAGTTGATAAATGTGACAAATGACGTGATGACAGGGCTCTTATGTTTATTTATATAAGCAGCTTTATTATGCTTTCAAAATCAGCTCCAATTTGTGCTTTTGTTTTCTGTCTACTCACAATTTGCTTTTCCAAGACAATCTATATTCAAATATCTAGATGACTTTCGCAAGTTTTTGCGAGGTTTTATTAAAACCCCTTCCCGGCTTTTCCCGAGCTGGACTCGGGCAAGCGAAATGTACCATTCTGGCTCATCCCGAGTGTAGCTCGGGCACTGTGAAAATTAACACTGCACAACCAGTCTTTCCCGAATTATTTCACATGTCCCTTTTATGGTTTCAGATGCTTTTATTTACTATTGTTGCTACTAGATGGCAGCACTATACAGTGTTTTGAGCTGTAGATTTAAGATAAGAGTAGGCGCCAATTTCTGATGCAAGTTCAGATGTTTTTGTCGTAAAGCATCACGTGCTTATATAACTAACGTTCTGTTTTTTTTTTTTTTTTTTTTTTTTTTTCAAAATGGCTTGTGCGCGGTATATTGATTCTGATTCCAGTGAATCCGATTCCGAAGATGATTTTGGAAGTGAATACCGTTTAGATGTTTCAGAATCTGATTGTTCAGATTTCGGTACTTCTGAAACAGAAAGTGATTCTGATTCAGAAAGCTTGAGTGATGCTCGTCAGTGGTGTGAACTCAATAGGGATACACCAAATCCTGCTCCCCCAGAATTTATATTTCAAGGACACCCAGGACTAAATTTTTTTCCTGACAGTGACGACATTTTGCAGTTTTTTGAATATTTTTTTGATGATGGAACTCTACAAATTATATGTAATGAAACAAATCGTTATGCTTCTCAGTACTTGAAAAAGAATGAATTGAAAAAGGAATCAAGGGCACAAAAATGGTATCCAACTACAAAAAATGAAATTATGATATTATTAGTGGTTTTCACTTTACAGGGCATCGCGAAAAAGCCCGAAGAAGATTTATATTGGTGTAAAAAAGAAATATTTCATACACCTATATTTGGGAAACTTCTTTCAAAGAGAAGATACAAACTCTTGGTTGCAATTTTTACATTTTGCGGACAATGAGGTTTATGATCCCGAATCGCACCCTAATCCAAAATTGTGTAAAATATGGCCTTTGTTCGAGCGTTTGAATGGGAAATTTATGAACGCATATTCTCTAAGTAAAAACGTTTCTATTGATGAAAGTTTGATGTTGTATAAGGGGCGCCTTGGTTGGGTGCAATATATGCCACTCAAAAGAGCTAGGTTTGGCATAAAATTTTACATGTTATGCGAATCCGAATCTGGTTACATGTGGTCATGCATAATCTACACGGGTAAAGGAACCATTTTGAATGAGCAATTCAAAAATTTGCCTGTGTCATCACAAGTCGTGATGACACTATTGTATCCCCTTTTGAAGAAAGGGCACTGTGTAACGACGGATAATTTTTATACGTCCCCAGAACTGGCAGAATTGCTAATAGCGTATAAAACCGATATATATGGCACAGTTCGCTTGAACAGGAAAGGTATGCCTATTGATCTAAAAAAAAGGAAGGAAAAGTTGAAAAAGGGAGAAATTGCTGCATTTCAAAAGGGAAAAATCATGGTTCTGAAATGGAAGGACAAAAAGGATGTAGCACTGCTTTCCACTGTGCACAACATGGAGATGGTTGCAGTTACCCGCAGGAAGGAAAATAAAATGAAACCAAAAGTGGTAGTAGATTACAATGGAACTATGGGAGGGGTCGACCGTGTAGACCAAAGACTAAGCAGTTACAATGTCACTAAAAGAAGAGGGAAAAAATATTACAAAAAGATATTTCTCCATTTATTGGATATAACACTATGGAATTCATATGTGTTGTACACAAAATCTGGTGGAAAAAGAAGTCATCTTCAGTACAGGACGAAAATAATAGAAAACATTATTGAAAAGTACCACTCGGTAGAATTTTCTGCCAAAAAAGGACGTCCTTCTGCTGATCACCCCCCATCACGTCTGTCTGAAAGACATTTTGTTGATTACATTCCACCAACGGAGAAAAAAAGTAATCCAACAAGACAGTGTATTATTTGCTGCTCAAAGAGAGACAGTAGAGGGAAGAAGAGAAACAAGATTCTACTGTCCAGATTGCGATGTTGGACTCTGTGCAGTACCGTGCTTTCGAATGTACCATACACGATCAAATTTTGATTAATAATTTCATAATAATTTATGTAAATGCACAGGATATAAATAAAATTTGTAATTCAAGATTAAAGCTAGGTATTCTAAGCTTTATATTTATAGTTAGTGTGAATTAACTCCAAAGTATAATGATTTCTGCCATACAGAAAGCCAACTTTACAGGTAAATACTCATTTATTACTCATTTATAATAGATATTTTTACATTTATTTTTAGGAAATGTTGCATGCGAATGATGCTATTATGTTTAAAAAGATATGTATGTATGAAAATAAGCATAAAAAAAATTGACATTTTTTTATCCGTAATCCCGAAATAAAATGAGCCTGGAAGGGGTTAAGAATATTTTTGCCCTTTTCAATTTATTTATTAACATCTTTCTTCACACTTACATCACATTAAATTTAACAACTAAATCACACAATATTTAAAAACGACATAATTTTAGAATTCACGTAAAGTGCTTAGTGTTGCAATAATTTTGTTTTATATTCGCTACATTATTTCTTTAAAAATAATGCACAGCGGTAACATTTGTTGGGAAAACTTTTTTATATGAAAAGTAATACGGACAGAAATATGGATCAAGACGAACAGCATATCCAATGCTAAGAAACTTCCTACGAAATTATTCCATTATTAATTCCCTTCACGCGGAAATTTATTCAATAAAGGGAAAAAAAATTAAACGTAGCTGTGTTTTTACCGCTAGATCACTTGTGCAGAAGATACAATTTCATACCAGCAATACATATTTTCTGCAATTTCCTACGAGCAATACATATTTCTTACAATTTCCTACGAGCAATACATATTTCTTACAATTTCCTACGATAGCAACACACATTTTCTATAATTTGCTACAAGCAATACGTATCTCCTACAAGTAAAGAAGGAACAATTTTTATCCAGGGAACAATTTTTATCCAAAGGGGCGTTATCCCAGAACGGCTCTCAAAACGGCATTTTGCATCAATTCACTATCAATGTCCGTTTCACTTTTCATATTGTTGCCAGTTTGAAATTAAAGAATGAAGAATCTGCATGAATTTCGCAATTTTCTCGCATTGTGAAAAAACAACGATACCTACAGCCATCAAATTTTGAATGATGCAGTCCTCCACCCGAACATGGTCACCTATAAGCCCGACTTTTGAATTCCAATTAACAAACTCAAGGATTTTAAGCAAGGAGTGGCAACCCTTTTTTAACACTAGCGCGCGAGACTATCTATCGTTAATTCTAATGATATGCTGATTTTGAATATTTTTAGCCCAAAGAAACATTAATCCAAATGCTCTTGAAACGTATATGTGTGTAAATGAAAAAAAACGTCCCTTTGTACATAATATAAAATCTGAAAGCTTTCAATCCCCCCCCCCAAAAAAAGAAAACACGAAATGTTTCGTTTAACCTCTCTGTTGGAGCTGTTGAAAAAGTAAAAAAGAGATGATGGCAAAAACTGACGTTGGATAACGACATAACACATTTGAGTTTCAAATCGATTTTTTTTTCACGTTCAATTTAAATTCAAACTAGTGTATTACATATTAATTACACAAAATATTTACAAAGAATAACTTCAGTTCGTACAATTAAAGTGGTAAACATTTTAATTCCTTTACCAGTGAAGAATTTAGTTTTCTATTATCATACTAATACATATCAACAACAATTTTAAGTTTTATTAGCAATTAATTTGATTTGTGCTTTTATTATAAATTCTTTCTGACATTTTTGGTTGTCTTTGCCATTCAATTTAATTCCTTATCTTTCTAAAGCTCTGCATTTTCATGCGAATAAGAAAATGAAAAGAACAGAAAAATATTTCTTAAATCCACAGAAATGTCTCATTAAAACCGGAAACAATGTATCAAGCATCGCATATATTCATAGACTTTAATTAAGCTACAGTCAGCAAGCCTTTATCTCACTTAAGGCTTAATTTATATCAGTAAACTGCAACCTCGAGTAGCTCTATTTTCCAATGACGAGAAATATAGCGTAAGGTTTTAAATGCACAGCTTAGCAGACTGGGAATTGAATGCGGCGGGTATCGGCGGCCTTTCTGCAGTCTTAAGAGAGTCAATTAAATTTCGGGTTCTCTTAAACAGTGCTTTTGTGGCTTAATTAATGAAGCAACTGGCAACTTCGCTCTATTTCCTTTCTTTAGTTCCCGTTTCTGCAAAGAGTACGCTGGAGTGCGTCCAAGTTTCTAATTCTCCTTTTCTTTACTGGGCAGGAATACATGTTCTTTTACAGATGGTCTTCTCTCATCACATCTTCGCACCTCAATCACTGCAGCATACAAAATTAAGAAAGCACCGATGATTAAGATGAGTGATATAATTTCAGATAAAGTTTTACTCAGTCTGCCTCACTGAAAGATCTTTGCTGCCTGCTAGAGACCTAAAATCGTATTTAGCACAGGAGAATTTATACTTTTATGGGTGATTTATGGTTTTTATGAACCTTCTGTATTATCTTAATGGATCCAATGTAAGGTATCAGTAACATATTGCAAAACAGTAAGCAGTTTAAGATGCACTTAACTCTAACACAACTCACTCTAGAAATATGCAAATATGCAATATTAGAAATAGCTAATACTGGTTGGTCATCGTTAAGGCAGCTTTGAGTGGCACTCTGCCAAAACACTTCGATCGCCCAATCGGGTTGCTAATCAGAAACACACCGAGAAGCAACGTGGCAACTCAATGACATCAGACGATTAGCACTTAGTTTAGAGTTATGAAAAGGAAGTTTTGTTCGCGATTATAGTTCTTTAAACAATTGATCCAAATATAGTGACTTAAAGAGAGGATAATCTGTAACTGGAAATCCTATGCTAGACTTAACTTATATTTGCTATCGTTAAAAATAGTGCGAGTTTTAGTTATGCTTAAAGATATCGATGTAATTCGAAATTGAATGAAATTCGGAAACTTTTGCTTGCCTAGATTTAACTGTCAGTATCGTTTAATTCCTGCGAGGATTCTATGTTGTATTTCAGTTTTATTTATCAGAGATCAACTATAGATATTAATTTAGTTATCCTGGTTTTAATTTTCTTTTGTGCCGCTTGGTGTGTATTATCACATAACACTTATTAATATTTAAGTCCACAAATTTTATCAGAGTAAGGAAAGCAGGACTGTGTCTGTCGTTGGCATGGGCCTTGGGCACATTAACGATTACAGTTACAATTTTGAAGGAGAATCCCCCGGACCAGAGATCCTAAAGTCTCCCACCGTTTCCTCCCTACAAGAGAACTTTATACTCGCTATAAGTGTTGCCAGAGCGGACGATATTTCGCAAATTTGTTCCTTTTGACAAACTTGAGCTACTAAAATGTATGTCTATGCAATTTTGAGAATTTTTTGGCATTCCATTATTTTTGTGTTCTTTTTTGTTATTTTAAATATTTTTATTATACCGTAAAATGCGTACATGTTAAACTATAGTATCTGTAACAATTAATCTCTACATATAATAAAAGAAAGAGTCTATCTGTGTGTGTCTTTCGCGTAAGCTAATAGACCCAAGTCTCCGAAATTTGGTACATAGGTGCATATAGACAAGAGCCAGTGCACCACAAAACGATTTTTTTCAAAGATTTTTTTAAATTTTATCTTTTTTGGTGAAATCGCACCATTTTGAATAGTTTCATTCTTTTAGAAATATGGTTTTGGCAACAGTTTTTCATTCAGTGCTTTGTATACTGGACTGCTGACTGTTGAAAATATGCGATAAGATATTATTAATTATACACGCAACACGCACGTCGCAATCACAACTGAAACGAGGCAGAACAGAAAGAATTTCCTTTGCCCCCCCCCTCTCTCTTTATTAGCTAATGGCAAAGAAGTTTGTATATTATGAATTATGTCATCCACAAAGCACAATTCTTATTGGTTATTGCTTTCTGGTGATAGTTTCAATCTTTTAGAAATGTGGTTTTGGAAACAGTTTTTCGGTCATTGCCTTGGATACTGGACTGCTCACTGTTTTCTCTTGAAAATATGAGATTCATTGCTTATTTCACTGCAATGTTTTTATATTATGTTTCAATTATATGTAAGTTTAATTATATAAAAGTTTTGCATGATTATTTTTAGGAAACAAGCTTCTTAACTTCTTTTATACCATTTGAATTCTTAAGATTTTGCAACGGAAAGTTGGTTAATTTATTTATTAGGAAATTTAATATTTGTGTTAAGGGATATTGCTTATATCATTGTAATTTATATATTTTATATATATATATATATTGAAATTTCTGTGCAATTTTTAAAAGAATAAAGAGTAATAATTTATTTAGACTTAAATAAAAAGTTGGCAATCCTGCATTCGCAACTGTGCACAAGCGCAGTTACGCGTCCCCTGCATAAGCGCACCTTCATTCATTTAGTGCTTTAATGCATTTAATTGGTTGTTTTGTGTAATATTTTGGTGATCTGTGAAGAGGTTTGCAAAGTTTAACTCAGATTATAGTTGCTCTGTAAACTAAAATAAGAATTAGAAGCACTGTGAAAAAAATTCGGAACCATCTTTCAAAATGGCCAGAAAGATGAAAACACGCGAGACAAAAAGCTTATTACGAGCTAGTCAAATATGAATTGAGGGCCCATAAAAAACTGATTAAAAGAAGCATAGTACTTCTTTAAAGCATAAACAAAATTCTCATTAAATCCTGTTTGAGAACAGCATAAAAAAGTGCATTCGAACCCATTAAATAAGTTTGAATTGAAATTTAATGTATTTGCTGCTTGTCAGGCATCCATACAATCCATCGACTCTTTGAGTGAAATTCTTAATAAATTAATGCAATCAAATTTATAATCTGAGACTTTCTATAGCTTTGGTATATTTCTATAGCTATAGTAAAATCTCGTTTTCATATAGCCCATTATGTCTCAAAATGACGCGATTTCGTCACAAAACATAAAATAAAAAAAATTCGAATTCGAATTTCGAAAAAAATCGCTTCGATATGCACTGGCTCT